GGAGTGTTGGTGGCGTTTTAGTGTTTTATTTTACGGTAGGACCGTCTTCTAACTGTATGTTTGCCTCACATAAGCTGTATCACACATTGCAAGTAATTATATACAACATATGGCCTGTTGGATATACCTCCATCCCCATACGATAAGCTCCAATGTGGCAAAAAAAACCACTCATTTGAGTGGTTTACTCTAAGATAAACACAAAGGGAAGGGTTATATCGGAAATATTCGAAAGACTGTAAACAATAAGATATGTTGAGTTAGAGTCAGCAAAAGTGTTTTGCATTAATAATTTCACGGGGAGAGTTGATATCTGCATCATGATATCAGTCATATGACATTTTAAAAGACATTGAGATCATAGTTTCAACACATTTCTATGGGAAAAGATATTGGCTGTTTATAAAGAAAACGCCAGGTAAAGACAGGAAGGACTTCAAAAGATCACCAAAGTCAATATTGATAAGAGTTTAGGTAATTGAACCATAGTATTTATGTCGGTATTTGTTTGAAGTATTTCCTCGAGAAAAGATATCACAAATGCTCGAATTAATGAAGTATTCATACAATGTACTGATTTATTAGAATAAACGTAACAATTGGCATTCTAAAGAACTAAGTCTTCAACTGAATAAATATTTTATGGTAACCAGACCGACCATGCGTTATCCTGTCCTATCAAAATTATGGTTTTATAAGGTGTAACGTTCTAGCAACAGCTAAGGTCATTTTAGGGTCAAAATTGTGGAAAACAGACAATGGTGATGATGCGTATATTTTGAAGCAGATTACGTTTGTTAACGCGGTTATCAAACAGACCGGTTGCCTTTCCTGACAAAACATTTGTGCAATTTCGTTCCTCTTGACTGAGAAAGGCACTAGCTTCGCCGAAAGCTAATAGAAAGAAAGACGCCCGCTTATATATTGGGGAGTACATCATGCAACATAAGGGTTTGAACTTAAGCTACCAACATTTCACAAGATGGCGAACAATATCGTGGTGTACATTATCTGCTCTTTTGCCATGTTACAGGTAAGTCTGTAGTACCAACAGTAGGTTTTTGTAGTTACATAATTATGCTACATTTTTGTGTCAAGTTTTGTTGTAAACAAATATCTAAGATCTGTTTTGTATCACTTTTCACATTACAATGACAACACTGTAACTATGTTAGTTTTACTTAAGAGATGACTAGTAACTTCTCATTAAGTGATGAACGTTCACGTCATTGATGACGCGGCTACTGTTAATTGAGTGAGTATGTAGAAAGTGTTACGTCAGGGAGGACGTGGTAGATTTTCCTTTAGTAACTACAGGTAACATTCACATTAGTGATGACGTAAAGCTTGAGTTAAATGATACCAGGTAACTTTACTTCAGTATTGAAGTGGTAACCTTTACTTAAGTGAAGACAGGTAACTTAAATTTAACTTAATTTTCACCGATGACGTGGTAACATTTTCTTCAGAGATAACGTGGTAAATTTTACTTTAGTGATGACGTGGTTATCTTTTCACAAATGATTGGAGTCACATGATGCTGTTGGGTGAAAATAAAAACAAGTTACTTTTGTTAAATTTGATTTTAAATTTATATGCAATGTATTACTGAACTGTGGTTAATGCGGTTGATATGAAATCATCACAAAATCAACGGAATTGTACATCACACATTTGATACCTTTACAGTATGGTTTAAGCTTTGCGATTTGAGTATCTGCTATAAATTATTGAATATATATGAATAAAGATTTTCTTTTAAATATTTTATACATAAAAATATTATGAAACCGTATTAGATGAATCCTTTAGTAATAATGCAGTTTATATACCGATAACATTTAGAAATCTAAAGTAAAACATACTGAAGTTTCCCATTCGGTTTGACATATTTTTAAGCGCCAGCTGGCATTGCTATGAAAATGCATAATAACTCAAAAAGGAGTAGATCTCAGAAAAAAAGTTGAGTCGTGCTCACGAAGTCGAAACTTCCAAAAGTAAACGCTCGTATAGGACATGGCGTCCAAATCAAAACAAAGAAATGACGCTGAGGAGTATATCACATATAATAAACTATGTGATCTCAAGACATCTTATAATCATCCTTTTTATAAGCTTAAGCTATTAATAGTTCACATGATTGGAAACAACATCGCTGCTGTGTGTATCATCTGTTCTGTCTGCTTTGTGGTGAAATGTACCTTGTTATCAAGAAAGAGATATTAGATGTGTTTATTGTTGGTTAAAATGTAGTTCCGGAAGAAGTCACGGAAAACATAGAATTCCTGAATTATCCACCGGATTATCAATGATTTCGTCAGGAACAATTTTGTCGGTTTGCAGAATCAAAAATTCCTCGATTTATCCAACATCCTTCTCGAAAATTCATCGTTTGATGTGTTTGCTTTTCAACCTTTAATGCATTTGAAACACCTGGATCTACGACAAAATCGGTTTCATTTAAATAATACATACAAAACCGTATTTCTCACAGGTTGAAACTCTACAAATAGATGTTTTCGAAGGATTCCGTTACGGAATTGGGTTTTTGAATTTAACCAAGTTGAAATAAATACATTTTACTGTTGTTTTAGAGGAAAGAATATCGATTCTAAATTCGACATTCCTTGGACTTGAACGGATAGTAATATCTCATTTTGTTTTACATTTCTCAATGAAAAAATTCGAAATAAACGCATTGGCTCCATTTCACAATCTTGTATCACTAAAAATTTATTCGGAGCGAACGATGAGCGTTCGGGGTGTCCTACACTTTATGGATTACAAAAGAGAAAAAATGGAATATCGAGCACTACATGTAACAGATGATTACTTTCTATCTGTAAGTAGTGTATTGTTAAAGAAATCTGACGGCGTATATCTACGCACAATCTGTGTTCGAAAATTTGATCTTAGTAAGAATGATATAGAGGGTATATAGATGGGCGCTGTATTGTCATGGTCTGTTAGGAAATGCCTGGAAATATTAGACATATCCTCAAATGATTTCAGGTCCACGCAAAGTCTTCCCCTTCTTGTGTTGTTTCCATCTATAACTCATCACTGTGCGTTAACGTCACCAGGGAACGGTGATCATACGAAGTGGGCTTCTGTTGCAGGTGAGATATTTTGATATTGTTCTTACTTCAGTGGCTAAACTGTTCTTTGGGCATTTTGAATCAATAATGACGTTCCTTCAAACTTTTGGTTAATTTAAGGAAAGTTGTGCTTCTCAATTCTGGTTCATCATATATCTGATAATGCTCGTCATTTCTGTTGTTACGGCTTTCCTATCCAGAGTGGCCTGGAAACACAGAGTGAAATTGAGGGTGTGGTGTAGACATCCTTTGGAATATGAAGTTTTTCCATTCGATGTCCGTATAACCTACTGCAATTATTAATTAATTAGTTTAAGCGTGGATGACACTTTTTTTACAATGAAACTAACCAGTGTGTATTCTTTTCGAGATGGGCGAGAACATATGAATGTCATTATTCTAATAAATGATATGAGACGAAGTGAAATTCCGAAGCTTATTCGTAAAAACTGGGAGAAATAAGTCCTATTATATGGCCCGATGAACCCAGTCTTGCTAAAAATAAGCTCATCACAACAACAAAAAAAAAACATTTTGAAAAAATTGTTAAAAAGAATTAAATATTGAAACATAATTTTTGGTTGAGAAATCTTGTTCCGATACTACAGTGTGATCAATTTAATAACCATACAACGTTAAACTTATGCCGTGAACCCATTTTTGGATTGAGTGTTTTAATAAAAAGTAAAAAATAATGTATCTTAAAATAGCTTAAATCCTAATAAATTTTCATTATCAGACAATTGTGATTATTGTGATGACAGTGTATATAATATATATACAATGTGTTTTGTATATCTAATGATCTTGTGTATATTCTGCCCTATATTGCTTATTAAGCATTGTACATTTTGTTTATAATTCTGCATATAGTGTACATTGTTTCCAACTGTTAAAGTGTGTACTTATAAATATATTTATATACTATATGTATTGTGCATATTTAGTTCAGTATCTAATTAGGTATGTGATGTGATAGTTTTGGAAATATATATAAGTTAATAGTCAAACCTAATTATAAACTTAAAAGTTAAGTGTTAAACTGCTTTGTGTTCAGAGTTAAAGTCATTTTATTCAGAATAACCTATAAAACTTCGTGGTTTTGTTCGCTTTCTCAGCAATCCTATTCTAATTATGAACTATTACTCTGAAAAGAAAACAGTTTAATGTTAGGGGACACACAAGTACAACAAGTTACAACCCACAAATCACTGGTTTTCCCGTTTAATAAAAACAGTAACTCTCTCGATTACTTCTACATAAAACTATTGTGGTAATTAATTTCTACCACTTATGATTTAGCAAGGTTATGCGTTAGATAGATTAAATTAGAAAATATATATATAACAAACTACTTGGTTACGTAAATATGCAAACTGTAACTCGAAAAATACTTAATCGATATGCGGCTTTATATGAATATTTGACACTCAATCTCACATTCTAACTAACCCGGAAGTTTATTTAACATATATATAAAAAAAAACGAGCTTTGATTGTGCTGGCGATATCAGGTGTTTCTCCTTTATAATTATTACGTATGTAGGTGTGGGTTTAGTGAACACGAAATAGGAGTAAACAAAATACAGCACTGTTAGTATAACCAAATTTTAGTATACAGGAATTACTAGTTGTTAATATTAGCTACCTGACCAGTCACTGAAAATCCATTTACTTTTTCTTTTGTTTTCTCTACTGAAAAAGAAAAAGACTTCTTTGTAAAGCGTGCTGATTGTTTATTTAATATAATGCTACTTGCATTAAGGTTAAAATACTATTTAAAGAAGTTAATGCGGGTTCTTTGATCGGTGCAGTGTTTAACCGCTGCTATCGGGATTATTTCCTGACAGAATATATGTGCAATTTCGTTCCACATGACTGCGTAAGGCCCTTGATTGACCTAATAGAAAGAAACACGCCTACTTGTATTTTAGGGAGTAGAACATGCGACATCAATGCTATACATTCAAGCTACCAACACTTCACAAGATGGCGAACAACATCGTGGTGTACATCATCTGCTCTCTCGCCATGTTCCACATTACAGGTAATGTGTTAGTCTGTGATACCAACAGTAGGTTTTTACATATGCTACATTTTTGTGTCAGGTTGTATTGTAAATATTTGCACAACAACAGGTAACTTCTCCTTAAGTGATGAACTATCACTTCATTCATCAAGTGGTAACTGGTAATTTAGTGATGACGTAGTCAGTGTTACAAAGGTAACATGTATATTGGTAATGAAGTGGTAACCTTTACTTCAGTAAAGACAGGTAACTAAAACTTTAATTTCATCGATGACGTGGTAGCTATTTCGTCAGAGATTACGTGGTCAATCTCACTTTAGTGATGACGTGGCAATAGTTTCATTAATGATTGCAGGCAGCTGGACTTTGGGTCAAAAAGAAACAAGTTTATTTTATTGAAATGTTTTAAATCGATATGCAAAGTATTCCTTAACTCTAGTATATTATGGTGATATAAAATCATCAAAAGATCAACAGAATCTGTGAATCAGACATTCTTTACTTTTGAGAACAGTGTGGTGTAAGCTATGATATTTGAGTATCTGAGCTATGAATATTAAATATCTAAATCTAAGGCTGAACAAATTTGTTAGCATCAAGTGACAGTCTCAAGATCCGCGATAAATGTATCTGATAACATATGAAGAACGATGGCAATACTGTAGGGACGGTAGTTTGATAAGTGAGTGTTTTTAAACTGGTTTAAATCATATAAATTGTATTAATATACAAAGTATATTCAAAATATTTACGAAAAACCCCAACATGAAATATACTTCTAATATAATGTGTTGTTACACATAGTCTGTCTCATCTCGAAGCTATTCGTGTTTTCGGTGACTGAGTAATAACTTCCCGGTACGTACGCGTTAAAATTAATTATCTAGCTGGGAACAGGTAACATTTTTACGGACGTACATTGACCGGAGGGCACAACCACCGACACCGTTTGGTCCCGGACAATAGACCAGGAAGGATCGACATGATTCAGCGAAACCTTTTTGACACTTCTCAACATCACAGTAAATACAAAATTACAATGCAGTAATAAGCTAACACTCTATCTGTTATTACCGATTAACAATAGCTCTACTGAAATTCAATTAAAATTATTTGCAGTCGCGTTCGAGGGACCGTGTTGTTTTAACTCACCAAAACGTGGCGTGAAGCCCTTCAGCACTTTTAGAACTACAGACTGATTTGACCAAAAAGGGATTATATAAAACATGTTTATACTAGAAGCGTGAACATTCAATACATCCTCTTAAAATCTACTTGAAAGAATATACAAAAAATACAACATAACGTACAAGGTACGGAACCTATAATTAAAAATTACTACTTCATAATCATGGGCAAAATAAACTGAGATATCGAAACATAAGTTGATCAGCGATTCTCTGGCATCGGAATTTGCTAAACTGTCTTCTTATGGTTTTTCCATACCTACTATGTATTAGGCCTAGATACTGGAACAGACAAATTCTGCAGCAATTGCGCAAACGAATTATATATTGACACCCAGTGATGTTTTCCTCAAACCATCTCCCCGAAAAATGACAGATATTTAACCGAAAATGGGCAATTAACAGGCGTGGTTAAGGTATATAAATTCTGAGGTGATGATGATAACAATATTGTAACGTGACGCAAAGATTTGAGTTAAACTGTTGGTCATTAAGTGACTTTGGTGCTCAGCAAAATAATAAGACAGTATTGTCAGTAGTGTTTATGTCCAAAAGATGTATACCTATATTATGAAGGGATTTCAAAATGTTTGAAAATTAAATGTAGTATAATAACTATTGTTTGGTCTGAAGATCTTATTTAAGCATTGATGAATTGATATAAAAAATTGAGTAAAACAAATAAAGTATTAAAGAAGATAAAAAAAAACCAGAAAGATGGAAAACACTGTTGTCTATTCTGTTGAACAAGCATTATGCTAATAATAAACATTAAACAAATGGAGCAATTAGATTGAATACAAAGTGGATTAGTTCTTGATCAATTATTGTCTGAAAAATACACTAAAAGTCGTGAGCGCGACAAAAAATGACGACATAACATCTCAGTTTGGCGACACAATATTTTCATAGCAAATCAAATTGACGACACAGAATGTTTCCTTAATGTGAGCCCTGTATATGTACCCTTTCACCAGATTACGTTACTGCTATTTATGTCTAAACTTCAGGTATCCACTGTTATCTGTGATCGTTAAAAATCCACAAAACATCGACATATATAAACTGTGATGATATATATAAACATTGTGAAATATATTAACTCCTATGACACATAAACACCGATGACACAAACATCTGATAGTATATAAACACTCTGATGATATATTGCCAAATATACACTCGGAATACATATCAACATTAATACAAATATGAAATTTGATGGCAGATATGTCATATAAACATAATTCTTTTATACATAAAAATATTATGAAATTTTAATTGATGAATCCCTTACTAATGATGCAGTTTATATACCGACACAATTTATTCATCGAAAGTAAAACATACTGAAGTTTCCAAATCGGTTTGCATTATTGCAATAATTATATTATGCATGCATAACATTATGACAAATGAAGTCACTGATGACTGCACAAACATAGTACCTTTAACGATGAACGAGAGACATACATGTAATCCGATCAACTTCCCGGTTGACAACATTTACATTAAATGACAATACCGTCATAACAGTAATTAAGAAGAGCAACATACCTTCACAAACATGGGTATTTGTGACATTCCTTTGTGTTCTGTAATACATTTTCAAACAAAGTCCACCCCTGCACTTGGGGGATCGGGAAAAGAATACACCTGTTGTTACCCACTGCATGTGTATCGAAGACGGCGACTAATGTGATGAACCCCTGCAGAATTGGGCATTTGCTTTGGTGTCCACTATTTGAAGACAAAAAAGCGATCAAAATAAATCTGCTGCACCCATTGCAATATTTGGGATTTTTATCTTTCTTTTTACTTCAATGGCAATGGGTTCTGTCCCAAGGTCGGGACATACCAAAGTCCTTAAAAATGCTAGTTGTTATTCCCTGCTTAACGTTCAGCAATTAGGGGAATGGCAACAACTGGTTCACCCGTTGTCAGTATAATGTGACCGGGCGGAATGCTGTGCTGGGTGTCTTCGGCATGGTATTTCAGTAAGATATCACTATAAAGTCGGCATCCGATCCGCGTTTTTACAAGGAGACAAGCACACTAAAACACCCTTTCTCCTGCATATTCACACGCAAGCACGCATATACTATACACATGGAGGCACGTCCTTAAATGACCTTAGCTGTAAATAGGACATTAACCTTTTTTTACACCAAACCAGCAAACACATTCATTTATTACCACGTCATTGAATACTTTCTATTTCGGCGCCAAACCTACAGGTTATGTATTATAAAGCTGTTTCTTTTCCATATATTTTATAAACGTCAGTTTGGATTGCTATGCAAATTCATTGCAACTCAAAAAGTAGTAGATCTCAGAAATAAAAAGTTGAATTGTGCTCACGAAGTCGAAACTAATCATTTTCCAGAAGTTAACGTTTGTATTAAACATGGCGTCACGAGTTCAAACAAGAAAATGACGCTGAGGAGTATATCACAGATAATAAAGCTAGGTGATCACAAGACATGCTATAATCATCAATGTTATTAGCTTAAGCTATTAATAGTTCAAAAGATTGGGAACAGTATCGTTGCTATGTGTATCATCTGCCCTGTCTGCTATTTGGTCAAGTGTACCTTGTTATGAACGAAGAGATATTAGATGTGTTGATTGTTTGTTAAAATGAAGTTCAGGATGAAGTCACGGAAAACAACGACTTGATAGAATTCCAGAATTTTTATCTCCTTAATGAAAATATATGTGAAGGATTAAATGTGATAAATAAGCCATAGGTTTAGATATATAAAGTTGTTGATAATCATTCCATGTATTTGTTTCAGCTGGAATGAATGGCTGCTGTAATGTCGTCACCATAGGAACTGTGATACATGTCAAGTGTTCAGGATGTCGTCTACAAACTGTTCCTGAAAATTTGCCAATCAACGCGACGGAGTTAAATCTACATAACAACAACCTGACTATATTACATCAGGATTCATTCAGATATCTACATCAACTAAATAAACTAATATTATCATCCAACGGATTATCAATGATTTCGTCAGGAGCATTTGACGGTTTGCAGAACCTAAAATACCTCGATTTATCCAACAACCTTCTCGAAAATTCATCGTTTGATGTGTTTGCTTTTCAACCTTTAATACGTTTGACACACCTGGATCTACGACAAAATAGGTTGCATTTAAAGGAAACCTACCCCGAGCATGCAATAGCGTATTTGTCACAGGTTGAAACTCTAAAAATAGATGTTTTCGAAGGATTCCGTTTCGGAATTGGGTTTTTGAATTTAACCAAGTTGAAACAAATAAATTTTGCTGTGGTTTTACAGGAAAGTATATCGGTTCTAAATTCTACATTCCTTGGACTTGAACGGACAGTAATATCTCATTTGGTTTTACATTTCTCAATGAAAAAGTTCGAAATAAACGCATTGGCTCCATTTCACAATTTGGTATCACTTAAATTTCATTCGGGGCGAACAATGAACATTCGGGATGTCCAGAAAACACTTTATGGATTACAAAAGAGAAAAATGGAATATCTAGAACTAACAGATAACTACTTTCCATCTGTCAGTAGTATATTTTTGATGAAATCTGACTTCGTTTATCTACGCACAATCTGTGTTCGAAAAATTGATCTTAGTATGAATAATATAGAGGGAATAGAAATGGACGCTATATTGTCATGGCCTAATAGGAAATGCCTGGAAATATTAGACATATCCTCAAATAATTTCCTGTCCATACACATATTTTACCTTCTTGTGTTGTTTCCATCCTTAACTCATTTATATGCTTCAGATCAAAGTTCAATAAAATTTAGGAAACGTTCATCAGCGTCTATGGAGCAAACGTTGTTTCTACCACATTCTCTTATATATCTAAATTTTTCTCGTAACCCCATTGGTGGATCGCTTGTAAATTCAACACTTCATGAAAGTAACAATCTCAAAGTCCTGGATCTGAGTTACCCGCTTAGGCATCTGTCATGTTCCTATGGACGTTTAAAAGGTTTGGTCAATCTAACAGAATTCTACATGTCAGGATTTGAGTGTTCACATCCTAACCCGGAAATGTTTTCCGATATGCCCAACCTCTTAACATTAGAAGCAAAGGAATGTAACCTCGGACATGTGCTTGCCAAAGATAACAATTTATTATTCAAAGGAAGGTACAAACTCACCTTCCTGGATCTCTCCGCCAATAACATATATTTATTGAGCCCCATAATATTTGCAGATCAGCAATATTCACTGAAAACGTTAATTTTTGCTTCAAATCAATTGATTAGCCTTCATATGCACATCTTAATGGAGCTCCATGCACTAGAAACTTTGGATGTTAGTCATAATCGCATACCAACGTTGACAAAATCAGACATTGCACTTCTGGATACACATCAAACTAAATCTCCCGCATTCAAAGTGAATCTGCTTGGAAATCCGTTGGTGTGCAGCTGTGAAGTATTGGACTTCCTTGATTGGGTTGGCACAACAAACATGTTATATAACAGAGACAATCTTTTATGCAGTACACCAGATGGCAGTCAGATAAAGGTGATAAAATTCCTTCAAACATTTGGTCAATTTAAGGAAAGGTGTGCTTCTCAATTCTGGTTAATCATATCTATGATAATGATCATCGTTTTCGTTTTTACGGCTTTTCTATCCAGAGTGGTTTGGAAACACAGTGTGAAATTGAGGGTATGGTGTAGACAGCCTTTGGAATATGAAGTGTTTCCATTCGATGTCTTTATAACCTACTGCAACGAGGATGCAAGATGGGTTACTAGAACACTTGTTCCTTGGCTAGAGCAGGAAGATGTTGAATACTGCATCGATGACAAAAGTTTCGAACTAGGGTTAGACATATTGGACAACATTATGAACGCTATTGATAACTCACGCAAGTCTGTTTTTGTTGTAAGCTGCAAGTATTTCAAGCGGGAATGGCAAACTTTCACAATGCAACTAACCAGTGTGTATTCTTTTCGAGACGGACGAGAAAATATGAATGTCATTATTCTAATAGATGATATGAGACGAAGTGAATTTCCGAAGCTTATTCGTAAAAACTGGGATGAAATACGTCCTATTATATGGCCTAACGAAAACTGTTCTGATAAAAATAAGCTCATCAAAGCTAAAAAGGCATTTTGGAGAACATTGTTGGGACGAATTAAATATTGAAACAGAATTTTGGGTAAAAAATCCGATACTAAAGTGTGATTTACAATAAATTTAATAACCATAAAACGTTACTGATGTCGTAAATTCATTATGGGATTAAGTATTTTAATAGAAAGAAAAAAAATGTATGTTAAATTAGCTGAAATCATAATGGATTTTCATTATCAGACAATTGTGATTATTGTGATGACTTATATATATAATATATACAGTGTGTTTGGTATATCTAGTGATCTTGTGTATATTTTGCACTATATTGCTTATCAAGCATTGTATATTTTGTTTATAATTCTGCATAAAGTTTACATTGTTTCGAACCATAAAGTGTGTACTTATGAATATTTTATATACTATATGTATTGTGCATATTATATTTAATATCTTATTATGTAAGTGATGTGATCGTTTTGGAAAAGGATATAAATCAATAGTCAAATCTAAGTATTAACTTCAAAATTTAAGTGTTAAACTACTTTGGGATCAGACTTAAACTCAAATTATTAAGAAATACCTATAAAACTTTGTGATTTTGTTAGATTTCTCAGCAATCCTATTCAAATATAATAAACTTTAACTCTGACCAGAAAACAGTTAACTGTTAGGGGAAACAATAGAACAACCTGTAACAACCCATACATCTCGTGTTTTCCCTTTTAATAAAAACAGTAAATCTCTTGATAATATGAAAAGGCAAAGCCTAAAAAAGTGTTGCTTTTGTTGATCTCTAATATTCACTGATAAGAATGAGATAATACTGATTTCAGAATGAGATAAGATAAGCTTTATTTGTAGTCGGCAAGTCAAGGAATAACAATATAACACAAGCTCTAATTCATTTTAAGTATTGCTTATCAATTAGAGAGACTGGGGCAGGTTCGACCTATTATTATCAAAGTCAGCTCTGGAAAGTACGGCAGCACGTCTGTTTTTGAAGAATTATTTCAATTTTCATGTCGGAAGATCGGATGGCCGAACAAGCCCCGCCTTGAGGTAAATTCGACAGGCATTCGTGTAAGTTCGGCCCACGTTGGAAACAGCTTAATTATGACGTCATAAAGCATGACACATCAGATTTTACCGACAATTTTTCGACTTTTTATGTGCTGCATGGGCCGAATTTGCCCCGGTATCATCGGTCGAACCCGTCCGGGCCCACGTTGATATTTCAATAGATTCTTATAGTGCAGCAAAAGTATAGTAAGTGCTTGGCCTGGCTTTTATGTATATCATTTGAAGATGTCAGTGTTACACGTTCGACCGTAAAAAAGTACCAATTTCGTTTACAGAAATTCGCATACCTAGAAAGAAGCTTTTTTCCACCCTCTCNTTCCGTATGAATGCCCAGGCAACTTAATTTTACCCGGTCTCCCGTATGTAGATTTTTTCTATCTTAGATGATTGGTAAAAATGTATTCACAATATAATTGTTGCATCAATTACACTATTTTTCTCCAGTCAAAGGTAAAGTATATATTTGTTCTTGTGCGTAACTTATATGGTGAGTCAGGTGGCGCAGTAGATAGCGCGCTCGTCTTCACCAAGATGGCCGGATTCGACCCCAGTCATCTGCCCGACCACGTGGGTTTTCTCCGGATACTCCGGTGTCCTCCCACATTAAGAATTAAATCTTCAGTCAGGCCACAAAAAGAATGATTGAGATAGGTTGGGAAAAATTGTTCGATAATTGCTAGAGAAAAAGAGTTCATACTACATATTTGACGATATAACTTAGCAAATGTATGAAGTTATTAGATAAAAAAAATATAAAAAGAGAACATTCTAATATTTTGATATAAATTAATAATATCGATATATAGTCTCAAATCCTGTTCCATCGTGAATCATCAGGTTGAATTTCAAATTTTGTTAGTCACCGGGGTTTGACAAGTATAAGGATGTAAAATAAAATCAAACAGTTTCTGCATGTAACTAGTGACTGAAATAATCGGTACGCGGTGTAAACGTGTGACACCTTGCTGAGAAAGGGCGTTAAACTCGTGTTGGTGATCTGAAAATTCATTGTTGATTTCGAAATAAATGCATTATCAATTGTTTCTTTTATGAGTGTTGATGTATAAATAAACTATGAAAAGACTATGTTAATTATTTCGTTCATATTCTCAACAAAGGGTAATCAAAAGCTGATGAAATATTAGACGATGAAAAAATAAATGTACGCGTAGACCCATTAGTTTAATGTCGGCTCTTTTATAAGACATCTCCCGGTAGAAATATTAACAGAACCTGATTGATGACAAAAAGGATCCTCAGAAAATACCGCATTTTTACTTTTTGTGCCTGTGGCAAAAAACAGAAATAAAAAAAGTTCTGAGGTACCGACAAAAAGATAACTGACACCAAGATTTTCGGGTTATTTTTCATCCTTCCAGAAATAACCGATGGAGTATGACGTGTTTGTGACGTCATAGCATGATAATCTCTGAACAAGGTTTCATGCATGTTAGTATCACATTTTATGTGATGGACTTTTTTCACTCTGAATGTATGTTAGTTTTATTTTCCCTAGCAACAGTTGAAACATTGCTGTCTTTGCTTAAAAAAATAAGGACAACGTGTAGCAAGGGGAAGCGACTCTGTTTACGCTAGCATATGTTACGCTCTTATAAACCTTACTGGGTATAATGTTCCTAGCATAAGCCTGCTTATACATCCTGGCGGCAATGTATATTCACGCTCTCTATATAGTCAATATCTCAATGGCTTTATCAGTAATCTGGAGTACAGAACCGTCTCTCACGAGTCGGATTGTAAGTATTTACCCAGTAGCCAGAATATAGTGGCTGGAACACAGGGTGCTTTATTCGTGCAAGGGGCAGGTCCAAGGTCTACGTCGGAAGTACAATTTAGTCAGAATGTTGAAACGGAACATAACAACACAGGTACATGCATTCCGAACTGATGACGTCACATACACTGTTTACCAGACGGGACAACACACGTGTACAGACAGTCGACAGCACTCGTTGTATATATATATACACACACCAAACATTTTCTAAAAACCCGGGTTACAGCTTAATCCCAGCATGTTATTGTCCAAATATCTTCATCCGGGGCCTTCTGATTATTCAGAAGAAGTTGTTTAAATATTTTAACATATGTGAACCCTGTGACCTTGAAAATGGGCAAAGGTCCTTCATCCCAGCATGCTACTAGCCAAATATCATCAACCTGGTCCTCTTGGCTATTCAGAAGAAGTTGTTTAAAGTACAAGCGGCCTAGAGGGCCTGTATCGCTCCTCTGAATATGTGTAAAATAATTGGTATAAAAAGATATNAAATATCATCAACCTGGTCCTCTTGGCTATTCAGAAGAAGTTGTTTTAAAGTACAAGAGGCCTAGAGGGCCTGTATCGCTCATCTGAATATGTGTAAAATAAATGGTATGAAAAGATACCATGGTAGGTGCTGTAAGTACATATTAAATTTCAGAAAGATCCATTAGTTACTTGTGATATAGCAAGAACAAACTTCAAACAGAGCCCCAACCCTATGCCCCTAGGGGGGTCATACCCACCGTTTATACAAAATTGAGTTCCCTTGGCCCAAGGATGCTCCAGACTAAATAAGGATAAAATCCCTTACAGACCCTGGACTGTTTTTCTTTACCAAAAGTGCGTTGCGTTTGCGTTTAAACGGTCAAGAAAAATGGTCCAGGGTCTGTAATCCTTATGGTAGAAGTATTTTAAAGGTTTTACCTCTATTTCCCCTATTGGGCCCGCCTCTCTGACTGAAGGGGGGTTAGACACACCGTTTATACAAAATTGGTTCCCCTTCACACAAGGATGCTTTATTTTTTGACAAAATCCTGTCATTAGTACAGAAGAAGAAGATAATTGAAGAATTTGCTATGTTTCCCCTAAGAAATCCCTTCATCCCTATGGTAGAAGAAGGATTTTAAAGGTTAACCTGTATTTCCCCTATTGGGCCCCGTCCCTCAGGTCCAAGGGGTACTACACCCATCGTTTATACAAAATTGGTTATCCTTTACCACAGGATGCTCCACACCAAATATGGACCAAATCCTTTCATACAGAAGAAGGAGGATTTTAAAGAATAATTTGCTATGTTTCCCCTATTGGGCCCAGCCCCTCAGGCCCCAGGGGGCCAGACCCACGGTTGTTACAAAATTGGTTCCCCCTCACCTAAGGATGCTTCAGACCAAATATGGAACAAATGCTCTCATTTCTACAGAAGAAGGACTTTAAAGAATTTGCTATATTTTCCTTATTGAGCTGTCTCTCAGCCCCCAGGGGGGAAAGACCCACCGTTTATACAAAATTGGTTCCTCTTCACTTTATGATGCTTCAGACGAAATATGGATTTGGTTTGGTTTGGTTTGATTTTGTTTAACGTCCTATTAACAGCTAAGGTCATTTAAGGACGGCCTCCCATGTGTGCAACATGCATGCGTGTAGTGTATGTGTGTGTACTTTGGGAGGCTGTGATATGTTCGTGTTGGACAAATCCTTACTCTCTACATAAGAAGACAGATTTTAAAGAATTGGCTGTTTCCCTAATTGGGCACCGCCCCTCAGGCTCCTGGGAGGCCAGACCCGTGGTTAATACGAAAATGATTCAACTTCCCTCGATGATGCTTCATACCAAATCCTTTCATTCCTACAGAAGAAGAAGGATTTTGAAGAATTTGCTATATTTCCCATATAGGGCCCCGCCCTCAGGCCCTTGGGGGTCAGACCCACGGTTTATACAAAATTAGTTCCCCTTCACCCAAGAATGCTTCAGACCAATAAGGCAAGAATGCTTCAGACCCCTTTCATTCCTACAGAAGGAGAAGGATTTTAAAGAATTTGCAATATTTACTCTATTGGGCCCCTGCCCCTCAGGCCATTTGGGCCAGGCCCACAGATTATACAAAATTGGTTCCCCTGCACCAAAGGATGCTTCAGATCAAATACGGAACAAATCCGTTTATTCCTAAAGAAGAAGAAAGCTTTTAAATAATTTGCTATATTTCCCATATTAGGTCCCGACTTTCAACCCCAAGAGGGCCAGACCCACTATTTATACATAATTTGTGCCCCTTCCCCCAAGGATGCTTCTCACCAAATTTGGTCAAAATCTGCTCAGTGGTTCATGACTAGTAGCGATTTTAAGGACGCCGCACCATGGCATTAGCTCACTTGGCCTTTCGGGTAAGGTGAGCTTAAAATATGTAAGTTGTAAAAAATCATTTTCTTTTCCAACAAAACACTTTGTGGCGTAAATATTCAAAATGTAACACTTAATCGATGTGCGGCTTTATATAAATCTTCAACATTCCATCCCACATTCTAACTACCCGGAAGCGACTTAACCTATATAAAACACAAGATAGCTTTGTTTGTGCTGGCGATATCAGTTGGTACTCGACAAAATATAACGTCAGCACGTGTAGGTTCAGTGAACACGAATTAGGATTAAACCAAATAAAGCACTGTTAGTTTAACCAAATTTTAGTATACAAGAATTACTAGTTGTTAATATAAGCTACCTTACTGTCACTGAAAATTCATTTTCAAGAAAAAGAAAAAAATGATGGTGAAAATATTTACCATCTATTCTATGGATGTGCTCATGTGAAAAACGGTATAAACGCTTGTTGTTATTCAGTGGTTTGTGTTATTTCAGATTACAGAAATCAGATATCTGAGGAAGTTATGATGCTTGGTTTCTGGGATTATAGTTATGAATAAGTTATACTTAGTACAATGATCATTACTATGAAGTGGATAGTCTGGAAAAGCAAAACTGACTTCAAATACAAAGTGGCGATACATGATGTAGTGAGATGTTGCATGATGTAGTAAGCTGAT